AGTTTGATACGATAGTAACTAAGTGAACATTTGTTTAAGAGCACTCCACAAATTGTTTTTTTACAGTTAAATACATAAAAGGATGTAGATTTATCTCAATTAGTTAGTCAAGAATAATTGCGTGAGGTAACATTATTACACTAAGTACTATATTGATCATAAATGGATTGAATTAACAATTCATGGAGATAGTCAAACGATTTTAATATTATTCAATACTGCTTGTTTTTATCTGTTTCTTGACTTTTCTATAAATCACACAATAAATATTTATATGAAATTCACTGTCCTTTAACATATTCACAACATATTAGACGTGTAGTTGTTTTAATAACATTTATTTATTAATTAATAATTGAATATTATTTGTAGTATGCACTATCAAAGACAAAAGATAAATGTAGCCTGTCAACTGACTTGAAAAGTGAGGAGGATCCTATTTTATTTTATTTATAGATATCGATAATTAAATGACAAAGAGTTGTCCACGCGTTCACTACCTCACAAATAAACAGGTCCACGGATTGTATGGTTATTTTTGTTTTAAAATATATTGTATCATGAGGACCGGCATAGGCTATCTTTTATTTTAGAAAATATAAAAACTATAAAGGAGACCAAAGTAATCGGACCAAAATATATTGTCTGATTGAAAAATGCCACAGATATGAGACCTGACAGCGCATGCGCGGATAACGTGTCTCATTCATTCGCTTCCAGCAATTCAAATAATTTGCTCTCGCTTTATTCGTCCCTGATATACAGATTTTCCGTCTACAAAATTGCAAGGCGTCACCTTCGAAATGTGTCGAGAGACACCGAATAATACACTAAAATTTCATGAAATTCCGCTCTCCGCGTCGAAATATTGTTAATTGGATATTTACCTATTCAAGTATAAACACCGTATTTACACCTTTATAAAGTTTCATTCGTAAAGAGTATAAAACAGAGTGTAATAAGTTTTATACAAGAATATTTAGAGCCAAGAAAATGAGGCGCGAGTAATTTCTATTGCGAGGAGCTATAGGTTGAAATTGATATTTCTACTAAAACATTTTAAGTTTTAACGGGATAAGTCCAGCGTTTCTCTTTCTATGAGTGACCCAAATAGATAAATAGTACCTATTCATGAAAGTGAACTTTCGCCGAAGTCCACAGTCGAAATAATATAAAATATTATTGCATCTTTCATGCAACTGTAAACTACGTGATTACTACTTTCGTAATTTTTTTAATTTATTCTCTGTTATTACGATTTCGCAACATTTGACGTGAGGCGATACGCTACGGCGAATGCATCGTTCTCACGCAGAACACAGATTCCGGATTAAGTTAATATGTAAATGCCTAGAAAAATTTCCATACATACCTAATTCTGTCAAAATAAAAATGTGTCTCAAGAATTATTTAATCGCAGACACTTTAAGATTTATATCGAATTTCACTTTGTATGCCCTTTACAAGTAAACCTCTATGTGATGCAACTAGAAAAAGCTATTTAATATACAAATAAAACAAATAATATGATGAAAGGGTTAATTTTCATCTGACGACAACAATGCGAGGCGTCACTGCTCGCGTTCGTTATGTAGCGCGGCGGGGCGCCGGTTGTTATAATAAAAGCTTTATGCTCGCTCTACATCGAGCGTGACGAATGAAAAATAAAATGTTCCACCTAGGACTTACATTTCTAATAATACAAGCGACCCGCTCCGACCTCAGACGGGTATTTCACTTAATTTACACAAAACTTTAACAAATTATACATGTAAACATAACTAATGAAGCATTCTGTTGATGTATTAATACCATATCAAAATCCATTAGGTAGTTTTTGAGATTATGTCGGATATACATACAGACGCGTCGAGTTGAATTTGTTTTATAATATACATATAGAGAAACCTACTAGTATTATGTTGACTTTCCTGCATTGCTTTATTATATATTCCGTAATTCTAATAATAACATATTAATTCATAAGTCCATAATGCTTTTTAAAATAATGGGACTTAAAAGAAAACATGTAACTTTTTTCAAAATGCCGTCGTAATTAATTTTTCAATATATTGGCACGACTTTTTCTTATGTAGATAAATCAGAGCCATAATCAATTGTCTTGACATATACACATATCGCTGCGTCGTTCGTGTGAATCCAAAATTCTTGAATTAATTTTTGGTTCATCATCGATGTTTCGTTTTCGTTTCGTCAAACAGAAATATAAATTAATCACTAATTCGTATTTTTCTTGCATATTGAGCAGTACACAAAATTCTTTTGGTGGCGTTTGGACTTACGATCTTTTGTATGTAAGAATGGGACAATTGGCAACTAGGCCATCGCTTTTTTTAATATATTCAATAAAATTTAAAGTACCAAGAGGTTGAAATAAATTTGATTAAGTTTTCACGTTTAGTCCCAGGGTAATCGATGAGTACGGTCGATGGTACCCTTTAAGGCATTTCAAGAGATAAATTTATTAAGTCTTAATACAATAACGACTTACACAGTTTAAACCAATTTTAATAACTTAATAGTACTGATAGTATAAAGTAAGCCAGTAAATATAACAACATATTCCACTTTTTGAAAGCTGTCTCTATTTACTACCCTCTTACCATACGTAGGACATATCGATACATTTTAATTTTATCTACTCAGACTAGAAATTTGGATATTTTATAAAAGAACAAGTATTTATGTGTAGAAATATTCTTCATTATTTTTCACTCCGAAAATGTACCTGAAATAGAATTTCATGAATCAAATAAATCAGCCTAATAACGTATTGGTATTTTACCACAGACTTGACTTAGTGACATGCTCTTTTAGAAATTAATGAAATATTTATTCATAGATTTACCACAAAACTAGTAATCAAATTGTTATAGGACATTGTAAGTTATGTTCTATGTCTACCTATACCTACACAAACAGTTATTATACCAGATATTTGTGGAGTTAGTGAAACTAAAACAAAGGTACCCCTATATTAGAGGTTCCCAGATGGTTTTGTTCGCACGTAGATTGTTTACATATTTATGGCACCACCTTAATAGTTCATATAGGTACCAAAGTGAAACCAGAGCAGTGATATTGATCTTTGCCTGTTAATAGCAAGTAGGGATAGCAAATTAAAATAAATATAAAGATTTAAATTTCGAGTTTTATTTACAAATGTAATAACTGCTCGAAATTATATGATATATTAATCAAAAATATACTATTTATTAGAGATTATAGTCGGCTATTTATGGTAGTTAGGTACGTCAGGAATCATAACGTATTTTTTATAGATTTTATTGCGTATTTATAGAGAAGTCAAAACATTTTCCTGCCTGTCAATATATTTATACCTACAGATAATATATTTTTTGTATTGAAATTTGTTCTAAATTCAATACTTGGTTGACAAAAAAAACATTTTATTATCTGAATATTACTTTCAATAACATTGGTCTATTTATTTTATATAGATAGATATTAACTATCACATTCCATCCAATATATATTGTACTACGCAATCTGTTAATTTATCTATCTAACAGTAGATATATACACTAATACGACGAAGGGTGGATGAGACCGAAAACTAACAGTATATACATAGTTATCTATCTACACGGCGCTGATTTTCTGCTGAAACGTCAACATACGGCCGTAAAATCGTTAGCGATATCCGAGCAGTAGTTGTCAGTACTTTAAACAGCCTATAATAAACTCCAAAATCAGAGGTAATAACGTCGCAGTGATTAGGAACGTCCTAAATCCCTTGCTATATCGCCTTGGCTAAGATTTCGTAGTATGTCACTTACTGAGTTTATTTCCACTACCATTGTCCCGAAATTCCTATTGATTATAGTGTGCTGTGTAGCCTGTTTTGGATCACCTTCTTCATCGCTACGTATGTAGGTAAAACATAATCATTGTTATTATTATTCGCCCTGACTATTCGTTTAAACACAAGGCGATCAGACAGCTATCTAGGGCACTCCCTACCAGTACTACCAATTTTAGGACCGTGTGCAGCTGCTTTTACTCCATTTCCCATATACATATTCAATTTATTTGACGTCTGCTAGTCAACATTATCTTATTGAAGCTCAAGGATTATGCTAACACGTAACTATATAATAAACAACTTCATATGCTACGCTTCCTTTAGAATTTCCGCCGATTTTCGTCTATCCATTGATTTATGTACCTACCCGAATTCAATATTGAAGTAACAGTTTTTATATATGTTTATTAAAGCTATAATGCATATAGATATTTCATTTCATTAAAATAAACTTTTTTTGTGGTCTGCGTGGGTACATAAGTTGTACGTATTGCAGCCACCAAGCAGCTTCCTTTGTAAGTTGTGATTTGGTCAACGTTTGAGATAAAAGCAGTGAAATTACAGAACAAGAAGCATGACATTTTAGTCTATCTAGAATAGCAAAGCATGAGTCGTCTCACGGACATCACTTCATAACATAATATCCGTAGTACTGTTTAGACACATAAGGCAACGGTTACCACATACCATCAGATGGTCTGTTTCTTTGTCATTACTTATTATTTTTTTTACTTCTGAATCATGAGAGAAACAGATTGATTTATAATATTTTTCCTTTGGTTTATTATCATTAAAAATATATCTTGGTAGAAACGTGATATACAATCGACTATATCAAGTGTTTTCTTTATTAAATATTTGTGTCTATTTCTTTGAAATGTTAAAATTTATATCTTGTGGAGATGATTTTTTTATTGAAGAGAAAATTTGAGTTCGATTACATTTTCAAGTAAATTACTACAATCAGGTATAACTCGGAAGACACAGATATAAATATAACTGAAAAGTATTTCAGTAATATTGAATATAATTTGCTTGTGAATCGTATTCACAAACAAGTTATTTATATTCAAATCATCAAGTCATCTAGACCGCTTCCGAAACATTTTTACTTTAAAAAACAATAAATTTAAACTATTTTTTTTGTTTGCAGCTTACGGGAACCTAGCCAGTGTGCTGACCGCACAAGGACGGACAGCAGAGGCGGAAGTCGCCTTCGAGAGAGCGCTCAAACATAGACCCAATATGGCTGACGTTCATTATAACTTGTAAGTATACTTCATTCAGAGTTTACGACCAGCCTAATGTGTATTGTGATCATTAAGTGCTTTGTGAATACAAAGGTTGACCTCATATCGATTCCTCTCGTATTACTGACATGTAGCTTCTATTTTCAAATGAGACTTCGTTTATAAGAATCTTTTATTTATTTAAAACATTATTATACGAAAGGTAGATATGATTATCCTTTCTAAATAATCTTAATGGATTTAAAATATAGACATCCCCATTATAATCACACCTGTGTAACACTGAGGCGAATGGCATTGGCGCATGGCGCTAAATACATTTTTCATTAATTCCGGAATAAAATACAGACATAAATTATATTACTAACTAAAAAAGATATAATCATAATTAATGACGAAATATAACAAACAATATAATTGTTATTCATTTAATATATATTATGACGTTAGGTAATAATTTTATAACTTCACAATAAGATAAGTACTAGGTTTTATATAATCTATACTAATGTTGAAAATGCAAAAGTGTGTCTGCCTTATTACCTTTCGAACTAAACGACATAACGTAAATTTAACTTGATGTTAGACTGTTTCACAAGGAGACCTAACTTTTATAAAATTTTAAAAATCATTTGAAGACGCAGGTAACAAGTAGTAAGAATTATATAGATGGTTTGTTGTCAATCCACGGTCTCTTTCAAATATTTGGCTTTTATAAAAACAATTGTAAAAGTTCTTTAAAAATATAAAATAACAACATAAACTTAGGAATGTAGATAGAAAATGTTGTATATTTTATTATTGTAAAAACAGAACTCGTAGATCATAATAATATACTTAACACTTTTATAACAATAGGACTGAGACAATACAAATGGACAATGTTTACATAAGGTCTACACATTCCTTTGTCTTACGTTTGTTTGCGAGCACATTTTATAGGACGACGGACGTCCGACGAGTTTGCGTATGTAGTTGCGTAAGTAGCTGGTACGCTCGTAGCATTTCATAAAGCTTTTGTCCTCCTCTATTATACGTTTACAGTTAGTCAAATCAAAATAATTGGTATAAATTGTACAGAAACGTTACTTACAATGAGTTTTATGGGTAGGAAAGTATTTATTCAAATGGAAACAGTATTTTTGGAGAATAAACATTCTGTGAGGCCGTCTCCATTGTTACTTAAATGTTGTAAAAAGCTAAAACTCCTATATAAGACGATAGGTCTGATTTAACAGAGATAATAAAATCTATTTTCATTGTTTTTATTGAATTATTTAGCCTTTATGAAAATATAGATATGCATAAAACGTTAAACCTGTAATGGAAATAATATATTTTACAGACTCTGAACTAAGAGGATTTATCGCAGTCTGAAAATACATAGTTATTTACTTATTTTAATATACCTAACATGCATCCATTAAAATATGAGATTAACACTGATCATCGAAATTGGTTTCACAAAGAATTGGTGCGTGTAATTTAATTAAATTGTGATTAATTAAGTTATGCACACACACAAATAATAATATTAATATATTATGGAACATTATCTACTTATTATTAACCTTTTGTTATTTATACATATACTATTTAGGATCCAAATTACTAAAATTTTGTAAAAAGAAATGAACTGACTATTCATTTTGTTTACAGTTCTGAACTATCTATAAAAATCGAAAACACTCATTTATTGCTTTGTAACTGTATCATAATCATAACCTTACTGTAGAACTTTGTCAGTAAACTAACAATGTATAGTGTTGGTACTGTCAAAACAACCACACGATTTGTCAAATTATTTACGAGCGCTGGCTGCAGTGGTTAGCAATGGTTTGCTTACTTAATATTTACGATTAGTGCCTCAAACATGGGCGCGTATTTCTTACACATGAGTGATTTGGTTACGCTATTATGCTTCTGCCCAACATTAAATCTAAACATACCTACTGTTGGTCTTTGTCCTTTTTTTATTATTCCTTGGGTATGTTTACCATAAACTATATTTCAATATAAAAATGTAAATGAAATGATTATAAAGATATTTTATATACAAATGCAGGCGTATTAGAAATAAAAATATTTTAATAATATCGTATAGCTTAACAAACATAGCTTCTGACGCCTTCGTCCCAGACTCCTTATGGGTTACAGAAATATTTGAATTGAATTAAGAGTTACAATTTCTTCTTCAGTTTAAATGCTATGTATGTATTAGTAAAAACTTCTGTATATCTATAAATATCTATAAAATAACTAATAGAATTAATTTAAAATTTATGAAATACAAAAGGTTCTTTACGTATTATAAGTATGCTTAATATGTATTTCTTCTCATATCATATAAACATTTGTTTTCCAAAATTCTTATCCCTCCTAGTCAATTGAATCGAAAGCACATAAAATGTTTTACGACACAATAGAAACAGCGAAGGAGACGAAGATTTGATGCGGAGCCCATATTATTCTAATCCTGGTAACAACAAAAGTTTAATAATACATTCAAAAGGTCCGAGTTTACCCTTAGTGTAGGGAGAAATAATATTCGGCGTGTCTTTCCCAAGGGACTAAAAGGGCAAAAGGTCCAATCCCTATTAGGGACAACGGAAAAAGAAAATATTATAAAAAATAAAAATGTATGATAATAGTAATATAATTTTGTCAGGTACCTCGTCTGCGTATTTCGTGAAAAAGGACATTGTATATTTATATGGTAGGTGTATCTACTTATCTACTATTATTACATTGTTGACAGAACTAACTGATACTTCAAATTGTAATCTACTACATTTATTTTACTATGCCATTTACCGAATATTCCAAGATAATGTATTTAAGATGACTCTTAGTGGTAACTTACTCAGTTCAACACTTAACTTAGATTTGGACATCCGCGAAAAAATTTCTATACTGAGATTTTATATAATTGAGAAACTCCTTTGAAAGGTATTTCAAATTACAAAAAGTGGATCATCAGAAATACATGTTCGTTACCTTAGAAAGACTAATCCATTTTATCAGATCTCTTATGAAATAGAGTAATTATATCATAGACAAGAGAGCCTTTCATCAATTACGTTAGTAACTTGTCACGGATACATGATGTTTTCAGATGTTCTTAATTTCTTTTTCAGATATAACATGCAGTCTGTTAGTAATTATTGCTTAGGTAGTAATTTCTCTTATTTACATACATAGTTAATATTTGAATAAGATAATAAACTTCCTGCCACTGGTAATATTTTACTATCAAGTTTGTACTCAGAGGAACGTTACTTATAATAAGCTTCTTACATGAGAAATAACTGTATAAAGCATGATAAATCAACTACGTATAAAGAAATTGCGCGCTGTATGGCTTACGGAGCTGGATAGCACCAAGGATGCCAACCATACGCGGATATTCGTACAAATACGAGATTTTTGACCTTCGATACGAAGACATTTTTCCCCGCACTGGTTTGCACGAGATTTTCATATGATGTACGGGGTTAAGGAGCTAAATTAAGCTAATATACATGTTATATCAGATTTTTTATTTTTTCTTACGATGCTAGGTGTTTTAAAGTTGGCAACCCTGGATAGCACAGACAACGCTGCCCGAAAACTTCCTGAATGCCTTTCACTTTGCAATTCTAATCACCATTGCAGTTACAAACGGAATCTCAGGGTCTCTATTTTAGACAATCTCTATTGCGGATTGATTCAAATACGTTTCAAATGAATGAAGATCTGGATGCTAATATCTGCTCAGAGTCGATATTTCTGTAGTTTAAAGGATTTTAATGATGAAGTCTCCAGAAATTTTATTATATGACACAATGGAATAGATAACGTGTTGTTTACAGGTTGTTTCTAATTCAAGGAACATAACTCGAAGAGAATAAAAATTCTTATATTATTTATAACTACCTGTTTATTTTTTCACGCCCAGTCCTAGGGGAGGACTGAGAACAGGTTATCAAAGGCTGAATTCAAATAGAAATTCTTACACGCCTTTCTTGTTTCATCCACTTTCAAAACTTGTCTCGTGTATTACAAGTCGAATACTCTTGAGTCTAACACCGACATTACATACTTTATATAGTTTATATGATCAGGAATGGCAGTCTTGGCCTTTTCTTTTCACATTGTATGTACCTATGTGTTTCACAATTCTTTCATATAACATTCTTTCCACATACCCAAATCAACCTAACGTGCCCTTTTTTCATTATAGATCTACAAATAAAATACACTTCAAATCATACATTAAATTAAACACAATGAAAAATTCAACGCAAAATTAAAATACTCAATTCTGATTTAAAATCCTGAAACGTTTAAAATGGACTGTTATATGATTATGAATTACGTATTCGAATTACATATATGAACCAAAAAAGTATATGTCTAGAAATAATATTTTATTCATATATATACACACTTTAACTGTTGTTTCAGTAGAAATTAATAAAATGTACAATTATACATACTTAGTACTGTAATGTTTGCTTCGTGAAGCAACACAAAAAACCTCTGACTCAAAATGTTACAGTAAGTGGAAGCACAAACAAATAGGAATACTTTCTAACAATGATGATAATGATAACGATGGAGAGTGATAAAATCCAAATTTTAAGTTCATACGATGAACAAGTTTTAATTACCGTTCATGTGTGAATCTGTCCTGTGACAACTCCAAAATACTCAATCATCATCGACAACTTTTAACACTAGTTCTACAAACGAATTTTATATTTGACCTACTATTATAAAACTATGTACGTTACTTCTATATAGCCATGGATTTTCAATTCTTAAAGTCTTTCCATTGTTTTCTTTCTCTTATCACTAAAACCACTTTTAATAAAAAAATTCGTATCAATTGAAAAAGTTAGATAACCTTCTTAAACCGCCATTGGCTGCAAACTGAGATAAGAAATACAAAACAGAATTCTCTACCTGGTATGTACAACAATACGATTGTTCCGGCTCAGACATCGAGCGATCAATAGGCACAACGCGACGGACGA